GGTGCTCCTGATTCATCTTGATATTCCTGGCATAGTTCTGGTATACAGGAGGTATTCATTCGTTAGAGGCTTATTGAATGAAACACGGTGCCTATTAAGTTAGGAGACAATGATACATTTTCCTGTTTTCTATGCATTTTTTTTAACACCACATGTACATTTTTTAAGCAAAATATTTATTGAGTGAATGGATGGAGGTAGGGACAGAGACTCACTCAGGGAAGAACTTAGCTCTCAGGTTCTGATTTCATTGAAGATGGGCTCTAAGTTGTTCAGAAGATTCTTGGTAGCACATGGGGAAGCAGTTTAGAATTTTTAAAAAGCTGTGTGACAGTAACATTGTCAGCTTTGAGCATTTTATACAGAAGTGTCTAGGTCAGTTGGGAAGAAGCCGTRTCAGGTCTCTTTAGTTAGCTACTCTTCATCACACACCTGTGTTGCCAGAGGAGCTTGGTAACGAGTTTGTTATCCCTTAGTAACCAAACTGTAGGATGAAATATTTAAATAAAATACATTTGTGGTGGGTAGGGGGGTAGATCAGTGCTAAGAATGCTTGTCTAGCTTGCTCAAGGCCCTGGGTTCAATCCCCAGCACTACAAAAAGTTGGAGAGACAGAGACAGATTGTACAAGTGAGGAAACTCAAAGGCTGAAGAAAATGAGAAAACATGTTTTTTATTTGAACCCAGGCCTCCAGAGCTGAGCACCTTCACACTGCCACCTTTAATAGCCACACATCTAGTGCCCCTCCCTCTGTCTGTCAGAATGATGCTAATTGCTGACTTCTGAGGTGTGGTTAGGGCTATCTCAACACCCTTGTTTATGCTATTGGAGCTTGGCATGTCACTAGTGCTGAGTTTTAAATGTCAGTAAGTGTGTGCCTTGACCACAAGTCAAGGGTGGTGGTTTTTTAAATTTCCGTGTGTGGCAGTCCATATTATTTAGTATGACCTGGCTTTCATTTTAACTTTTACTTTACAAATGGTAATGCCATCTTGGGATGGGGTGTAGCTCAGTGACAGAGCTCTTGCCTGGGTTCTATCCCTAGCCCTACTATAACAATAATAATGTCATTTTATTTGAACAGAGTAGTTATTCAAAGCCGTTTTTGGATACTGTACTTTTAAAAAAGTTTGGAATTTAAGGAGTTGTTCATGAGATAAACCATTATTAATGATAATAAGTAATTATTAAGTAATTTTGCATGTAAACTCAGATTCTTTGTGGATCTGCTTAAAAATACCTGTGGAGAAATTTAACATTCAAAGTCCTATGCATATTTTCAGTAGTTGAAACTTAGTAGGTTTTAACTTTTTGTTGTATGGCAGATATCTTTGTTGTAGTGGAATATATTCCTTTATTACTTTTTACTGATTTTAAGCTTTAAGACCTTTTTTTGTTGTTGTTTCTAGAGCAACAATAAGGAGTGAAGCTTCTGGTTTGCATATAAATTTTTTTCTTATTAGTGTCTGATATTTATTAAACATCAGCTATTTTGGGGATAGTTTACAATTTATTAAGTACCTACTCAGTAGTTGAAAATACTGCCTGATCTGTTATATAATCCTCATTCAGAACTTAGTAATTGTATGATATAAATAGTTAAGTATTCCCATCTTATGCATGAGGTCACTGGAGGATGAGAGTTAAGCAGTCTGCTTAAAGGTAATACCATTAGCTGACAGATCAAGACCAGAACTCAGGTTTGTTGTGTCCTGCCACTATGCATGGTTGGTTGTTTTTTCCCTCCCACTTAGAAACTCCTTTTAAAAACAGATCTCTTACCTGAGCATGGTGGTGCATGCTTATAATCCCAGTGACCTGGGAGGCTGAGGCAGGAGGATCACAAGTTCAAGGTCAGCCTCAGCAAATTTGTGAGACATTAAGCAATTTATTAAGACCTTGTCTAAAAATAAGAAGGACTGGGGATGTGGCTCAGTGGTTAAGTGACCCTGGGGTCAATCCTTGGTACCAAAACAAAACGAAAACCAGATCCCTTGATCATAACAAAGTTTTAACTTTAATATATACTACAAAAGACAAAGCAAAAAATTTATACAAACATAAATTTAAAGGAAATTAAGGTGAAAGAAAAAAATGTACCTCACACCCTATCTACTGTCTGTTGTAAATGAAACCAGAAATTTTATCACCTGTCTTCACAACTCATTAAACAGATACCCTGATGGTGGGTGGAGAGGACAGAAGCTGCTATGAGAAAGTACAGAAAAGCTTTGGGAGGTAGCTGATAGTGGGACATGTGTAACCAGCTGTCAGACTGTGGGACTCCAGTCTGATTCTCGTGTTGGCTGGAAAAAGTCACAAAATCTATTTGTTGTAATGGTCTTTCTGTAAATCAGTCTGAACTTCTGGGACAGGAACAAAAAAATATGGAAGAAAAGATGGAAGAAAAAAAATGGAGGGTCAGTTGAGCCTTGGGTAGGAGTTCTTCAGATAGGAGAGGAAAGGAAAAACCAGAGGAAAACTACACTGTGTTTTCTGTTCCAAGTTCTGGAAAAGTTCACCAATATCACTTGAAATTATGTGTTGCCATTTCTTCCTCTTTAAGTTATATTTATAATAATTAGTAGTAGTTGGRTCTTAGGTTAGAAAATCAGTTTTAATGATTTAAGGATTCATAAGTGTAGAAATCCCATTTAAGTGACTGAGGAAAAAACATTGAACTTGAGATGGTTTTACTTGATAGAAACACTAAAATTGTGTGCACCTCAAGGCAGACTTAAAGGCTGAATATAATTATACAAGTTTACCTTTCTGCAGATGACCTAGATTACATATTATAAGGTTCCTGAGGACTTGATACAGCATAGAATGAATTCAATACTGGAAGTGACAGTTTTTAATAACATCATGCTCATTTTGATGTAGTGTTAACTCTGAGCAAGTTGTATGAGCTGTTATCTTCTGAGAAATCCCTATAAATGATATTTGTGATACTTTCTGAGGAGTTTGGGCGAATTACCAGATTTTTCTAAAAAAAAAAAAAAAGGTTAGAATGAGAGATTGTCATATCTTTTGGAGTATTTTTTAATTATAAATTGCTTTTATTGAATTTAAAGTGGATCGAAATACACTCCTCAAAATATGGTTTACTGTAAAAGTAGACTTTTTTTGGATTTGGATCTTGGAGTTCTTAACTACATTTTGACCTGACATTTAAGAGAGGTTTGAGTATTAATTTGTGATTGGTCAGCCCTTTGATGATGCTGGGTCTTTGTTTTTTCTTTGTTTCAAAGGAGGGATAAGACACTTTCTGAAAGACAATTGATTTTTGCCTTCATTGTGTAGAATCTGTTCTACTAATCTTGTGAAATTAATCTTTGCCACCAAATAACTTTTGTAACAGTACTGGAACAAAGTTCTTGTATATTACTTATTCAGACAGTACATTCCCAAGTGCATCCATATAAGATCAGTTGTTTGGAATATTTAAAGTCAAGTTTTTATTTTTGCAAACCTCACAATCTAATAGGGCAGGATAATACAATACATCCACACACAAATAACCATAATGGATGTTTCTGAAAAGTGCATTTTTTTTCCTGAATTGCCCCTACTTAAAAAAAAAAAAATTATGGATGAATGGTAAGGTAAGAATTTTAGAGTTAATATAGGTTTTACAGTTTATTCACATGCAGGAAACTAGACCAAAAGAAAAACTGGTCTAGATGCACAGGAAGAGAAGGTAGAGCCAACTTGTTTCCTGGTTAGTTGAAATTTGTGATTGCCAGATGCAGCACATGGGTCCACTTTTTTTTTTTTTTTTTTAAAGGGGAAACTGTTGCAGTTTTGAAAAGCTTTGGGGGATTAGGCATATCCTAATTATGTAGTSCGTCCATTGTCAGTTACACATTTCTACATGTGTGACTGATAACCTGAGTAGCTTCATGAACTGGCACTTGAATTTCCAGTGAGCAAGGGGGTGAATTTTCCAACACTTACTTACCCAACCATACAGACTTCACTTGCATATCCTCATAACATGTTTAAAGTCCTCATAGCTTTGTTCACTTTTGGGTGGCTGTTAACCTTTGATAGACTTCCAAATATGTTTTGTGGAAAAGCCCTACCTACCCATTTTCTTTTTCCTCTCTGAGGCAGTGGAAAACCGAAGGTCACAAGTGTATTTTGCGCATTTTCTCTTGAAAGATCCTACCCCATGAAGTGAATTGGTAAATTGCAGAGGATTTTGTGCGCACGCCCCCCCTTCCACCCTCCGTCCTCCTCTCCCCAGTACTGGGAATGAACCCAAGTGAGCATTCTATCACTCAGTTATAACCTGAGCAGGGATTGGCTTTTTGAGGGCTAGCAAAGGTTAATTAACCCGGTTAAATTTGTGTGATTTCCAGTCACCTTGCACCTGGGAACTTTATTTCGCCTAATTTTAATGAGGTTCTTCATTTCAGGGCCCACGACCTTAACTTGTCCTTACCAGCAGTTTAGCCACACTAGTTATTAAAAACAAGCATTACATAAAAGCTTTAAATTACAGAACGAAGTATGTGGACCTCATTTCARTGTATGGCAGGGAACGTTTTAATTAAAGCGTAGGACCTTTAGTTGTTGTCCAAGTGTTTCTTTGAAAGTTAGGTTGTTTTGTCATTGCTGAAAATTACAATAGCTGCCTCTGGAATGGGAATTATTTCCGTACGGGGCTGGGGGTCCATTATTGCGCAGGCCAGTTGGCTAACGCTAGGGTGTAGGGTGGGCAGCGCCGAGCGGAGCTGCAGCCATGGGAGGAGATGGGGGCGGGGCGGGGCGGAGCTGGGCGGGGCGGAGCTGGGCGGGGCGGAGCTGGGCGGGGCGGAGCTGGGCGGGGCGGGGCGGGGCGGGGCGGGGCGAGCCCAGCAGAGGTCCGCACTGCACTGCGCATGGGCTGGCATCCCTCCTCTTCTCCAACTGCCCCTTGGATTTCCGCCAGCGTCGGGAACATTCTGAAGGCGGTTGGCTGCGTGCTGCCGGTTGCCTGCCGGTTGCCGACATGTCTGATGAGCAAGGTTCCCTGATGGGAGGCCAGGAGCCAGTGGCGACCGGCTCCTGCTCCTGCCGTGCGTGCTCCATTAAGCAGGTGGAGGAGGAGGAGCCCCCGAAGATGGAAGTGGTGGTGGGGGTGGACAGCTGCTCTGATGACCTCAGCTCCGGGGACCCCGAGCTAGACTGTCACCTCCTGGGTCAGACCGAGGATGAGGAGAAGTGTCGGAACATCCGCAAGCAATACCGGCAGCTCATCTACAGTGTCCAGCAGAACCGAGAGGACATAGTGAACACGGCCAGCGACTCCTTAACCGAGGCCCTCGAGGAAGCCAACGTCCTATTTGATGGAGTGAGCCGAACGAGAGAGGCTGCCCTCGATGCCCAGTTTCTTGTTTTGGCTTCTGATTTGGGTAAAGAAAAAGCAAAGCAGTTAAATTCTGATATGAGCTTTTTTAATCAAGTAGCGTTTTGTGACTTTCTGTTTATATTTGTGGGCCTCAATTGGATGGAAGACGAATGTGATGAGTTGAGTGGTTGTGATGACAATATCTCTCTTTCCTTTTGGGAGACAGTACAGAAGGAAGCATCATCCTGGATATTGCAAGCTGAAACATTCCACTTTATTTTTGGTTCATTCAAGTCTGAGCCTTTTGTACGAAAGCCCCGACTTGAACATCACAAAAAATTTCGCAAAATGGAAGGAAATGGGGATATGCCTACAAAGTTGAGGAAGTTGGACCTGAGTACCAACCAAGAAGCAACAGAAAAAGAAGTAGAAAGAATCTTGGGATTGTTGCAAACCTACTTTCGAAAGTATCCTGATACTCCTGTGTCCTATTTTGAGTTTGTGATTGATCCAAACTCTTTCTCTCGTACAGTGGAGAATATATTCTACGTTTCTTTTATTATAAGAGATGGCTTTGCAAGAATAAGGCTTGACCAAGACAGGCTGCCAATATTAGAGCCAATTAATATTAACCAAATGGGTGAAGGAAGTGATCCCAGTTCCTTTGGTAGGAAGCAAGGAGTTATATCTCTGAGTTTACAGGATTGGAAAAATATTGTGGCAACTTTTGAAATTTCAGAGGCTATGATTACAAACTCATATTAGATTTTTGTTCCTAGTATAAGAATCAGTTTTGTTTTTCTGAAGTATCTCAAAACAGCAAAATCTGAACAGAAGTGCACACATTATATTTCTTGTAAAGCAAAATATTTTCAAGAATATTGAAAATTGTTTTTCTGTGTAATGTGTTTTGGTAATTTATGAGGTTGTGATCTGTTATTAAAAATTTTCACTGGCATACTTATGGGAAATATTTTTTTGAATGCTCTAAAATCTACATTAATAAAAAATTTTTAAATTCTGAATTTTGTAAACTAAATACATTGGCCAACTTGCAAAAAAAAAAAAAAAGTCAGAATGGTATGTGATGCTGTTTTGCTTCCTCTCTGGTAGTGAACCAAGGAGAATCCCATTAAGTTGAGGAGAGAGTGGGTAAAAAGTTGCTCAAGAAAAGCGTTAAGGTAGTAAATATGCACTATTACAACTTTAAAAAAGTTGGATGCTGTGCTTCACTGCAGAGAATAAATAATTTCTAAATGATTTCTCCTGTAAGCGGACTCAGCAAATTTGTGTGACTACTGCTCAGTAGACAAAACATCAAATAAGGGCTGAAGGGGGAGTAGGAATTGGGAGATGGGAACAGCATTCTAGGCAGGGAAGTAATAAGGGCAAATGCGTAAGTYATGGCATAAGAGAACCTTTAGATTTAGGGGAAACAATTCTGCTTGAATGAAGCTATGTGAGAATTGCATGACTTCATCTGTTAGTATCAGAAGTTTTTTGTCCCACAAATTCCTCTAATACATATATGGATTGGGATGGGATTGTGGTTCAGCAGCAGAGCACTTGCCTTGCATGTATGGGGCACTGGGTTCCATTCTCAGCACCACATAAAAATAAAGGGTATTGTGTCCATCTACAACTAAAAAAAAAAAAAAAAATTAAAAAAATCCCTCTTACATGCTTATTTGTAAGCTTTTTGTGCTTGGTTAATGTCTTCTCTGGCCCATACGTTCTTTTTATGTGTCTGCTAATAAAAAATATCCTTCAGAATCAGTGATGTGTTATCGTGTAACAACTTCAGATATTTGTCCCAACTAATTTTACATATGTTAATAGGGCTAGAACTGTCTCTGTTTAAAACTGTGTTTATTCACATATTCTTAGTGTGAACTGTTCTGTTTTTTTCTTTTTGATGCTTCTAGTTGTTTTAAAAGTATAAATTACAACCTGATTTAGAAATTACTGCTGAAAATTAAAAAGCTTTAGAATGTAYAATAAGCATACCCATAAGTTGCCTTCTATCTTTAGGAACTTAATCTTTGGTAGTGGAGGAATTTGGCAACTAATTGGTAAGTGGGGTAAGTGACTGTTAGTAGGAAGTCTAGTTGGTACAGGGAAGGGAAATCCAAAGGCTAAACAAATGATATCAAGAGAGGCTAGAGCTGATATTTGGGGAAGTTTTTCACTAATAATATACTGGAGAATTTTTTTAAAAAAATAGATATTTCTTGTTGGCAAATTATTTTCTGAAGTAGCTATTCTTACCTCTTTCTCATTAGAATTCTCAAGGAATTCCAATCCTTGTYAGTTTCTGTCACCCTTTGATTTAGGGTGGTCTTGCTGATCCTCACTTCTGGTGTATCTGCCATCCTTGCTTGGGTTTTTCGGAGATTTGTTGTTGGAGCGAAAAGATAATTGTTTTGGATAGTGGAGAGATCCTGAGTTCTTCACTCACTATCAGATTCATTTCTTTACTGGGAGGATTTGACACAGAGTGATAATAGAAAATGTAGGTAATTTTTTGGGTCTCTTTAAAATTAGAGTTGTTCAAATATCAAGTTATCCACTCATTTTTGTTTTTACTAGTTGTCATGACATRTGAGTTATCTCATTATTTTGAAATTAAAGCACATGCTTACATTGAAGAAAAGACTTGACCAATGGAGAGATGAGTTCCTTTATAAAGATTAAGAATCATATTGAAAAAATGCTGTTTTCCCACTAATAGTTAGAACACCTTAACTTTATATTGTTTTCTGAGCACCTTTAAATTTTTTTTTGTTGTTGTTTTTTAGTTGTAGATGGATACAACACCTTATTTTTATGTGGTCCGAGGATTGAACCCAGTGCGTCACACGTTAGGCATGTGCTCTGCCATTGAGCTACAACCCCAGCCCTGAGCACTTTAACTTTTGAAGGTTCAAATAAATTGAACTTTAAGAGAATGTTGTGAATTTATTTTAAAGTAAAACTTTATTGGATAATAGGACCACTTTGTGATCAAATGTCCTGCATCAGTACTAATATTTTTGTTATCCACTTTGGGCAGATTGTCTAATTGTAAAGTTGAGGTTTTTGATTTTCCAAGTGAGAATAATAGTAAGGTTTAGATTAGAAAAATTTATGATAAATACTTTGAAATAAGAACTACTATGTATGGTGGTGCAGTGAGAAAAGTAATAGATTTGTAATTTGTAACCTCAGTTTAATTCTTGGCTAGCGGGCAGTTTTCTTAATTTCTCAAGGTCTCCCTTAGGTATGAAATGGGAATGATATCTAACAATAGTTAGAGGACTACTATAAGGATTAGATGAGATGTAATGTGTGTAAAACTTCCAGCATGGTGTCTGTCTCATTGTGGACACTCATGTTATCGCCTCATTCTCCAGATATCAGGGTCAACAAATTCTGGGGTACCACCACTCACTGTAGTTTCCTTATGCTTTTTTAAAAAAATTTGTTGTTGTTGTTGTTGTAGATGGACACAATACCTTTTTTTAAATTTAGTTTTTATGTGGTGCTGAAGATAGAACCCAGTGCGTCACACATGCTAGGCAAACGCTCTACCAAGGAGTCCTCCTTATACTTCTAGATCTCTTGTCTGTCTTCTGGAAAATTCATTGCCAAGTAACTGGAATCTGCACAAATGGTGCCAGACACTGCTCTAGGCCTGGAGAAAAAGTGGTGCCATAAAATTGTGTTTCTATTTTAGAGGGTATATTCATTTATCATTGCTGTAACCAAACAGTGAGTGGAAGCAATACTAACTATCTTATGGTTCTGGAGGTTGGATGTCCAACCAGAATTGGGTTGGCTGAGCCAAAATCAAGGCATCAGCAAGTCTGGTTCTTTCTGGAAGCTCTGAGGGAGAATCTCATTCTTTGTCTTTTCAATTTCTGGAGGCCACCTGCACAGAACACTTTCAAAACTGGCAGTGCCATCTCTTCTGTGAACACATCTCCAGCTACTGTAGTCATTTCTCTGCCTCCCTCTTACAAGGACGTTTGTGATTACATTGAGCCTGCTGGGATAATTCTAGAAAATCCATCTYCAGATTCTTAGTCACATCTCCAAAGTCCCTTTTAAAGGTAACATTCACAGGTTATAGGGATTCATGCTCTTATGTCGGGGGAGTCACTGAGGAAAAGACAGCAACATTTTTGTGAATGACCGTTGTACCAAAGAAACACTGCTGGGATATTGGTTGAGTTGACTTTCAGATAGGATAGAAAAGCTCCGGAAGGAGGTAATCAACGAGGTACCTGTGGTCATTTACCAGAATACTTGACACAGAGTACAGGTGAAACATTACCATGGTTCTAGACATTATAGACGTATGCTAGCTGAATATCTAGATAACTGGCCATGGAGAGCCAACTTTCTAATTTCTCCTTAGAGGAAGCATCTCTCCTTCCCTGAACAATGAGGTGATTTTTTGATTTGCACTCACTTCAGTGTTACTGTTATTTTCTGTCCACTACCACCCACTGACAAACTCAAAATTTCCCCAGACCAGGGCTTGGCAAGTTTTTTTCTGTGAAAAGCCAGATAGTATTTTAAGCTTTGTGGGCTATGTGGCCTCTGTTGCAATCTATAATCAATTCTGCTATTGAAAAAGAAAAGTATAGACAATTTGGAAATAAATGGGTATGGTTATTTTCCAGTCTTATTCGTGGATAGTGAAATTTGAATTTAATGTAATTTTTATTATGAATTATTACTCTTTTCCTCTCCAACCATTTAAAAATATAAGAACCATTCTTAACGTCAAGGCTTTGGAAAAACAGATCTGCTGCCTTGGCCCTGTCATAGACCTAGTCTTTTTTAGAGAACCTGTAGCATTTAACTTGCAGTTTCCCTTTATTGCTTTCCTAGTTCATAATCCAAAGCAAGAAAGGCCTGAGGTACATCCCAGTGGCTGCTGCAGTACAAGTCCGACAGCCTTCAGGTTTCAAAGAAGATAAGCAGTTGGATCTGGTATAGGTTCTATAATCAGTGCTGAGTTTGTTGTTTGGGTTTTTAATAGACTAGACATGAACATCTATGGCATTAAGAAAAGTCAGGCTGCTTATTTTGCACATGAGGTATAAAACATTAAATTTAAGCAGTTTAGAACATTTGGGATGTTGCTCTAAATTGTTTAGCTCTTTTACCCAACTGTGCCACTTCGACAAAATACTTCCACTGTCCCTTGCTATTTAGCTACCATGTTAAAGACTTGCTGTGTTCTGGGCACTGTACTGCATTTACATGGATTGTCTGATTCACCCAAACCCCTATGAAGTAGTCCCTTGTTTTTGCAAACAGGAAAAGCAAGGCAGGAGGATTTAAGCATCTAGCATAAGATCATACTTAAGTTGCAAGTCAGGTTTGGGTTTGAACAAAATCTAATCTCTTAAACCATTATGCTAGACTCCTTATATTTTTCAAAATTTTTTCTATGTTTTTAATTTTATGTGTGAGAAAACGGCAGCCTCTTGGGTGTACGTAACCAAGTTAGAAGTTAGTACTCAAGTGTTTTGTTCTAAGTTGTTTTGAACTTTGAACATCACCTCATACATGTACCTTGACTTTGAGGTCAAAATTGTTTTCATAATRCTAGAATGCTATTTGCCTTTTTACTCAAGTGTGCTGTGGAGTTTTCCAGAAACTCAAAACAGGTGATGTTGCAGTAAATCAGTAGAGGAAGGAAGCAGATAATGAATATTGTTAATCCAGACATTGGCACTGAGGATACAAAAATGAAAGACAGATGAGGTGCCTGCCCTTATGGAGTGTATTGGTGGCAGTGGGATTTCATGGGCAGAGCACCCAACTCAGGGCTGTTAAGTAAAAACTTCATTTAAATCTAGATGACATGAGGCGCTGAAGTGGAGAAAAGAGAATGTGGTGGAACAGTCTCCAAGCGCCCTGACAACGTGTGTTATTAGAGTTRGAAGAAAACAGGAATGTTGTTTGGGAACTTTAGGGAAACTTGATAGATAAAATGGGCCTGTGTTGCCAAAAGATCCCCCAGTTCCCAGTGGAATGCCTTAGAAGGGCAATGTATTTGTGTACATTAAATAAAAATAAATAAATAAAAGTAATAGAACTTTGTCTATGTACTGGATTAGGCTTTGGTGGAAAGAGGGCATTTCATGAGAGGTGATTGCAGGAAGCTCAGGAGAAATCTGTGAGACATGCTGTAGTGCCCCTTGATTTCAAAATCCCCAGGCCAAGCTCAGCAATTTGGTGAGTTTTCAGGAATTTGGTAGAAATGGAGGCTCCTAAGGTTTAGATGATTAGTCCCACCCAGTCACTTAGTCTCAAGAATAGAGCAAGCATTTTATCCCAGGTCAGTTCTCCACAGAGCCAGGCAGTATGGAAGGAAAGGCCAGTACAGATCTGTGGGGGCGGGAGGGACTAAGGATTTCATATTCTAATTTTAAAGAAGTTTATTACATTTAAATTGTTTCCAGCATTGTACTGTCTTTTGGGGAGTGGGGAGCAGAGTTGTTTGTTTGTTTGTTTTTTAACTAGGAATGGGGTGGGGGAAGGCATTGCTATGAGACACAGATGTAAGAGAAAGGACACTTAATAACTAAGCCTGGCCAAGAAGTGACAAATGGCCTGCAGGCAAGGTGTAGTGTCCCTTGACTTTGAGGTCAAAATTGTTTTCATAATACGAGGATGCTATTTGCATTTTTACTCAAGTGTGCTGTGGAGTTTTCCACAGGACAGGTGATGTTGCAGTAAATCAGTAGAGGAAGGAAGCAGATAATGAATATTGTTAATCCAGACATTAAAGGGAATTGCAAAGATATTTTAAAATGTCACTCACTAATTTAAACAAAAATAATGTTCCTTTTAGCACACAGTGGGTATGTTAATTTTAAATTAATTAATAAATTTAAATTGTCCTAGTTTTAATCTCTAATGTAGTAAATGTTAATAGATAGAATCCACATAAACAAAAATTCTTGGATGTCCTAAATAATTTCAGATTGTAAAGGGGTCCTGAGCCGGACAGGTTTGAGAATGCACCCCCTCAGTCAGCAGCCATTGTTTCTAGCACTTGTAGCTGGAGGAGAGTGGGGCACTAATTCGTGCCACTCCTTACCCTCCTCTTGTGCTGCCTGGAAGAACTTGCCCTCTGCCCTCTATCCTATTTATCTTTCAGGTGAGATTTATCTTGAACAGAATGACAACAATTTTAATTTTAAATTGGTTTAAAATTTAAAAACATAATGTTTAGTTCTAGGGTCAACAAAAGGCCTGTGTTACTGATTTTACTCTACAAGAGCTAAAAATGTTCATACTTGCTCAGTGCCGCCTTTATAAAATCTGTGCACTGGTTGATAGAATTTGATTTTGAGCTTGAAATACAAGAACCCAGGTCAGCAACAGAATTTTTTCTAGCACTGATGATTAAGTTGGTGAGGGCTACTTTCAGCTTTTCAGCACAAGGATACATTTTTTTTCATTTGTTGAACTAGGTATGTTGGAAGCAGGACTTTCCCAGAATTGGTGGTTTCATTTAGACATCGATTGTTCAACAGTCTATGCAGATAAAATGAGGTTATTTTTCAAGAACATCCAGCTATGTCTATTTGCAAGTCATTCTCCTGCTCTGTGAGACTGAGGGAGTAGCACTTGTTACATGAAGCTCATTCTGGTCCTTTGCTCTGAATGGCTGTCATTACCAACTTGTTTTCCCCCACAGTGCCCTGCATTGAAGGAGCAGCCTCAGCCATGATGCCAGTTGTTGAATACTGGCTGTGCCTACCAGCTTCTGGCATTAGACCTTTTGTGCAGACTATCAGGGTGATATGGTCTTGTCCCCACTGTTGCTGGACTGTCCCTCTGGCCCCTGAGTCACCATGTGCACCTAGCATGCTGCCTGGGGACACCTGCAGGGATGAGCCTCCTCTTCCACATTCCTCAACTGCACCCCCTTCCACATCCCAAGCACCCTGTTTTGCTGGCCCCAAGTCCTGCCCTTCATCCGCTACACCTGATTGTAGGCAGGAGAAAAATATGCAGTCTGGGCTGGTAAGTTTGGGAATTTTTTGGCTATTAAGGTTAAAACTTTATGTTTAAAAAAACATTTTGTTTGTGTTCTTCAGCTTTTTCAGTCCTCTCCTTAGCACAGATTTTTATTTTAATAAAAGGTAATATGAAATAATAGTGGAATGATTGGATTTTTGAGAATCGAGAGTCAAAAACCTAAATTTATAAAGCCTGTTGCATAGAATATGAAAACGAAATAATATAGGAGACTTCAGGGCTGGGGTTGTGGCTCAGTGGTAGAGCGCTTCTCTAGCATAAATAAATATAGGAGACTGCGAGTATATGCAGATGAAAGGAATGAACTAGACAGAGCCATATTTATTTAAAATGCCTGGCAGTGGTTGAGTACTTGCCTAGCATACATGAGGCACTAGTTTCTATCCCAAATACTGTAAAAACAACCATAAGATACCTTGAAAAGCAGAGACTTCTTTTCTTATATTTTTCATGCAGGTCAATGTCAATCAGTTTTTCTGGATTTTTAGTTTTTTTTCTTTTAAACTTTTTAAACAGTTTTTAATAATTGTGTTAGAGTGGGGTTCATTATCATATTCATGCATGTATATATAACTTGATTAATCCGAATTTCCAGATTTTTAATGCTTCAGCTAAAATTATAGAAAAATCTTAAATATTTGACTGACTTTAAAATTGCTACATTGAAATAATTTTACCCACACTTTACCAGGCCCCTATCTTGGTCTGAGACTTTAACCCACTCATTGCACGTTTGACTTAGAAAGTAAAGATGATTACTAAACTATATTGATGGCACCATTAAAAATATACTGTACAAACGTTTTTAAAAACCTAATTTAAAATTTAGTTTCAAAATTCTAGGATGCTCAAACTAAGTTTAGGTCAAAGTTGCTTTGGTTGTGCTGCCAGGACTTCCCCATGTAGAAGTATTCCATGAACACTTGAAAGGAGAGAGTGTGGCACAAGAGGGCGCTGACTGGAGCCAGTCCTCCARGATCGGAACCCAAAAGCAAGCAAGCAAGCACTGACCCCCGCTTGAAGGAAGGTGGAATATTTCTCTTCATGAACTATAACAGAAGTCAAATAACATTTTTTCTTTGAAAATTCCTTTTGCTTTCCAAAAGGAAGAATGTCTTACAAACTTTTTAGACATTGTTGCTTATTATTTTCCATTGTTTTTCTTTAGGCTTGTGAGGACAGTCTTCAACAACAACTGAAAATGAATGGCTCTGAGGATCTTCCCGAGTCCTATGACTTCGACCTTATCATCATTGGAGGTGGCTCAGGAGGACTGGCTGCTGCCAAGGCAAGGCTCCTTGTGTTGTGTATCATCTGGATTATGTTTGGAGGATTCCTGTCAATGACAGTTCCCCCCTCCTCTATGGAATTGGTTTGAGGCCCTTTTGTATTTTTCACATTAACTTTGAGTGGTACATGTTAAGGGACCATTATTATAAATTGCCTTTCCAAATTGAAATACGTGTTCTTGATATAGTACTGGGTCCATGCTTAGAACACATTTTCATTTAAGTTTGGTTGATTTTTTTTTTCTTCCAAAGATAATAAGGGTGTTTTGTGGAAATGGTTTGAAATTAAACAAATATATTTATCATTAATACTTGTATTAGATTTTTTTTCACTTTGATGATTTTCTTGTTCTCAGTCCCTTGTGTCTCTAGGAGAAAGATGAGGAAGAGCTAGATTTTTAAAACTTAAGTATTTGCCTCCAGTGTAGATGAGAGTGATCCAAGAGAATAACCTCTCACCGAGGCCTGGATGTGACTGGGAAGAGGATGTATAGGTCCAGATTAGGAGTGGGGCTCCTGGCCCTGAACATAGATCCACTGCCCAAGTGAGGACCTTAGCCCTGTCATCCTTTCTTCCAGGTTCTTTCAAAGATGACRTGGTTTATACTCCCTTAAGGTATAGTTTGTGATCATGTAGGAAAGGTGGTAGATTCACATGAAGCTGACCAAATTAGGAGCAGGGCAGTGTCTAGCATGAAGTGACACTTCGCTGAAAGCAATTCAGGAATAGTACCTGATGTAATTTACTCTGGAAGTGGTGCGCAGGGACTCTGTCCTCTTAACCATTAGAGGTTTAGTTGCCAGCGTACAAAGCTTAGTCCCTGAGAAAGGTAAAAGATACTCAAATGAACCTGACTGTTGTCTTCATTCCCCCAAAAATATATTTGGAGACTTTATAGATAGATACCATCAGTTTTTTCGTGGATTCCTCACATGAGAATTGTAGGAAATCTGACAATTTCGAGGGGAAAAAAAATTATTCAGTATCTTGCCTTATAAACTGAATTAGGTAGAACTTACAAATGCTTTCAAATGTCTTGTCTTTAAGGTTACAAGTTGTTTGAAGGGCTGTAGCTGTCAATAAATTGGCTGTACCAGCTCTGTAGCACTTGAATGGCCACATTTTTTTTTTTTCAGATTATTGCTTAATCTACTATTGTTTGAGTAGAATTATGTAAGAGGATTCTAGGGTTTCTATCCAGTTCCAACGATTTTATAACTGGAATCTGCTTAATCTCTAAAGCTGCCCTCACAACTGAGTGTTTTGTGTGTGTGTGGGTTTTTGTTTGTTTGTTTGTTTTTTAAGGTACTGGGGATTGAACTCAGGGGTACTTAACCACAGAGACAGGGTCTCACTAAGTTTCTTAAGGCCTTGCTAAGTTGTTGCTGAGGCTGACTTTGAATTTGGAAGATCTTCCTGCCTCAGTCTCCGGAGCCATTAGAGTTACAGGCATGAGCCCCACACCTGGCCTATCTGAGGATCTTAGTTTTTATCTTGGAGTTGAAAAGTCATGGTACTTGAAATTCCCTTGTATAAATAATTGGTTATGCCTTAGGCATTATAGCTTAATAAAACAGCATGGATGTTAGCAGCCCATTGCCCATTTATTATATTAACTCTTTCAACTCATTTTAGTAATTTTGTTTTCCAGGAGGCAGCCAAATATGACAAGAAGGTTATGGTCTTGGATTTTGTCACTCCAACCCCTCTTGGAACTAGATGGGGTAAGCTCCTAAAGTAGTTCAGAAGTGGTTTTGTAGAAGTCAGTTTTTCCCTAGCAATGATTTAAGTAGCTCCTAAAACCCACTGAGACAAACAAAAACCAACAGCATATCTCTTTCATTTGAGCCAAGTTAAAGTTGACTTGGGTTAAATGCTAAAAATCCAGGTTCTTTAGCACAGCCAAGATAGAAACCTTTTGCACAAGTTATGCTTTATGGTAAACATTTGTGCAGTTTAATGTATTTAGGGAGTTAATAAGTGAAAAATGTGAACCTTTTAAAACTTCCTGTTTTAAATCCACTTTCTACATTCAAATAAAAACTAGAATCAGAATGGGCAGCCTTGCTGCTTCTGTCTTGAGGAATTTTATTTTTATTATTCATTGATTAAATAAATTCTGATTTAAGAACCAGTGTCCTGGGGAATATAGCTTAGATTGTCACAGTATGAAAGAAATTTCTGCCCCCTGTGGCACCTACATTTTGGTGTGGAGATTAAAAACAAGCAAGGACTTCACAAATTGTGATAAGTGGTCCTGAAATTTTTTTTATAATGGGATAGAGAAGAACTGGGTAAAGGAGAGTTTTGACTTTGAGAAAATTATCAAGGAAGGCTACTGAAGAGATGGCAGTTAGGCAAAGCCTTAAAAAGTAAGAATGAACTCCCTATACCAGAAGCTGAGGCATACTCTCCAGGCCGCTTTTCTCTGTTTCATAGTGGTACATTCAAAGGCCCTGAGGTACATAAGAGCCCTTCATGCTTCTAGCATGAGTGGTAGGAGCTGGAGGTAGCATGAGGGCTTTGCAGGCCAAGATGAGAACTTTGAACTAATCAAAGCATAGTGGGAAACCTTTGAGGAGTTGAAGGCAGGAGAGTAATGTGGTAGTAAATTCTATGAAGATTACTTGGCTGCTTGCATAAGGAGGAGGCAAGAAGCAGAAATCTAGGTACGGCAATATCACAATTTCTCATTTATCCATTTAGCAAAAACTTAAATGTCAATCCTGTGCTGGGCACTGTTCTTGGTACTAGGTGTGTCCCCTACCCTGCAGTGCCTACCTCCACAAAACTCTTGGTAGTGTTCTTAGAGGACATAGCTTTGAGCTGTGAGGTCCAATGTTGTCTTGCATGCTGATTGATTTTATTTTGGCAACCTCTCCACCTGCCTGCATCTTATTTTAATGGGAAACAAGCTATCACAGTGCTGTTTAAGCTTAGAGATATTGTGCTATTTTGAAGGGGTAGGGGTGAGGGAGATGGGACATGAGTCCTTTGTAGAATCCAGTGAAAGCCTCCTTAAGAAAATAAAATGCACATAAGTTAACAATTTTTTTGTGTGTAGTTTCAGAACCACTGCAGTTAAGCCATGCTTAGCATAACCACTCTTTGTCATTTCTGCATATGGGTTTGATGGTAAGGATGGGGTGTGTGTGCACATAGTAAAATTTTAATTTTTAATGTTGTTGCAGGTCTTGGAGGAACGTGTGTGAATGTGGGTTGCATACCTAAAAAACTAATGCACCAAGCAGCTTTGTTAGGACAAGCCCTGAAAGACTCTCGAAACTATGGCTGGAACTTTGAGGACAATGGTATGGGAGTGAGAAAGCTCCTCTTCTGTTTGTGCTTTTGGGGGTTTGAACTGGTATCTGGAAATGTGAAGCTAGCAAACACCCTGGAAATTGTTCTTAGTGTTTACATTTGTTTGTTGACAAAGTCACTGCAATTATCCTTTGTCAGATAGCTACATAGTATAGTAAGAACAGATATTTAATATGGCATTTCTACTTAGAAACCTAGAATTCTTTCTTTTTCTTTTTTTAAAAAAACATTTATTTATTTATTTATTTTAGTTTTCCCGCGGACACACATCTTTGTTTGTATGTGGTGCTGAGGATCGAACCTGGACCGCACGCTTGCCAGGCGAGCGCTTGAGCCACATCCCCAGCCCCTAGAATTCTTTCAAATGAATCTCCTAGTGTATGAAAGAGGTCACACAGTGTTTGTAATGTGAAGGAAGTGCAGATCGTATCTGATGGGCTTTGTTTTGAAGCTATTGAATTTTTCTCCAAAGCAGGTCTTAGGAGAGGTATTGTTTGTTTTGGAGGGAACATTTAGACTTTGTTGCATTAAAAATACTTAGAATTCTCTAGAAACCCTAGACAAATTAAGGAAGGAATCTGTGACTTTAGAAAGTAGATTGCATTTTTTGGTGGAAGAATAAAGTGAGGCCTGGTACAGTTATATGAATTATTCAGGTTTTCTTAGATCAGTATCACCTGTTTCCTGGGACCCTTTTAAGTCTGCTTTCTGTCCACAGCTTTTGGAGACCTGAGGCTATACTTGAGAGTTTTTCATTTTTTTGTTCTGAACCCCATTTTAATTTTTTTTTGCCAAAAGAAAAGAGAATTGAGTAAACTCAGCTGACCTAGGAAGCATGAGTTTGATACCTAATTGCCATACTCTGCCCTCTCCCTCTCCTCTCTAAGCTGCTCACTCTCCTTTCTAGAGGCCGTCATTCCTGCCTGGCCTGCCAGGTAGCGCCCTTCCCCTCCTGGACACTGCTGTGAACACATCCAGTTAGCAACATGGTTTTTCTTCCTTTTCTTGACTGGATTTCTTTCTGTCTTTTTTTTTTTTTTTTTAATTCCAGAAGTTCTTCTGATGAAAGTTATATAACAGGAGTATTAATCATCTATATAGTGTCCAGCACTCAGGTTTGTGTGTAGTACTTGTTGATGTTAGTCTTTAGCTATCAACTCATAAGAAAAAAAAATGTAGTCAGTGGAACAGGATTGCTTAATGTAGTTAAGAATGTAGGAAAATTTATGTAATGTGACTTTAGAATCTTTAAAGGATACTGGTTACTCGTTTGAAAAAGAAAAGAGTAGGCCACTGCTGAATGTGGATTCTATTAGTGGGACCAACTAAAAATAATTGTAATAAATTAAGCAATCAGGTAGGGAATGATGTATAACTTAGCAGATTGACAGATCTTTACAGCAAAAGAATGTTTCTGTGGCTGTAATGTAACAACAATATGAAATAGCCATGCATATTTTTTATTTATTTCTAGTTATAGAATCAAAAACTAATAAACATACAACAAATAAGATAATAAGGAGCCAATACTAGCACAGTTCAGACTCCCTGAATTTCCTGGGGTTTGAAAACTTGAATCAAATCAAATTTGTCTATCCTTATATACATTATTTATCCAACTGATTTAACTATCTTACCTCCTTTGTGTTTCTTCCTCCTTAAAGTCTTTTTAAGATAGAAATACATGATTTTCTGTTTTAACCTCACGATTCCTGTGCTTGTCAGCAGCAGCAGCTCCAGAGTCTTTGAGAACAGCTGAAGAACTGCACTCAATTCTTACACTTTTCAGTAGAGAATGCTTGCCGCKTCAGCCCTTCTCATCAAACCTTTGTTCTGAAATAAAATGGCATACTGTGCCTGTCAGGATCTACCACTGAGGGAACAGTGCTTACCCTCCCTCCTTTTGGTGGTAAAATAGTTGTGGCGAGGAATAAAGTATATGCAGATAAACATTACTTTATTTCACTAGGTCTTAGAGCTAGAAAGAAACTTGGGGGTGTATTTTTCAAATGAGACCAAAACCTTTAGAGAGGCTACTGATTGGTGCTTCCTACTAAATGAATTTTGAAGTGTTATTTTATATTTTTAGAATAGGAACACATCTAATCTCATGTCCTTGATCAAACAACAGCTCTTTTATTTTCTAGAAACACTGTGTCTGACACTGCAGATAGCACCCAGCATGCTGAGGGAGGACAGGGACCTGAACCAAGCCAACAGCTGAATCTAATGACCAGGAGAGTAACAGTCACCCCACAGCTGGCAGGTCCAGACCTGAGATCTGCCTTTTTCCTAAAGTTTCAAACTGATACACAGAGAAAGTCATAGATCCTAAAAAAAATTTTGAGCTCAGTAATTCAAGCTGGATGAATTGGTCCTTTCTGGAAGATTGGTTGGCTTTATATTGCTTAGGGTTATCCATTTGAGTGCTTTTATGATCAAGAATGAAATGTGTCTTTTAAAATTGAAGTATTTGAAAAGGTTTAGGATCCCATTGTCATTATGGAGAAAATAAGATCATTGTTCACAGTGGGGCTTGCAGAATTTGGGGATATATCCTCATCATATACCTGGTGTTTTACATGGCATGTGACTGCCACTGATGGGTGTGTGCCCTTGGTACTCCTGTCTTTGTTTTCCTGGATATATAACAGGAGTAATTCCTGTTCCCTGGGGTGCTTTGAGGCTTAAGTGAGAAGATGTGCCCGACATGTTAAAAGTGATGATGCAGTTCTGTTAGTCTGGTTACTGTAGTTCAACCTAAGGCGTGGCCTGGCTCTCTGTAGTGGAAGAGAGTAAACTAGGAGATTTGACCAAGATCCACTGCTGTGTGCAGAAGGGCACACTTAGGTGCAAATGCATTCTGCCTGCCTGCTGGAATCTGCATTCTAGAGGTTTAGCAACGCATTTCGGCTAGTAGAACAGCCAATGGTATCAGGAGGCCTAGGAGAGATGCTGAGGCTATGCCAGTAGATGGACAGAGTGTGGGTGTGTAGAATCCTGCTAATGTTTGGGAACACTGATCGGTGGTGGGTTTGGGGTATTATCAGAAGACAGGGCACCCTAGCAAACTAGAGTTCCATGTATGTCCCAGAGTCCAGTTACCACTAGTAGCATATAAGGTGGGAATCTGAATGTTACAAGACATTCAGAAGAGACCACAAGACCAAGACTATAGGAGCAGATCAAGTGCTTTGATGCTGAATCCAAAACTGGTAGCCCGAACTTTTTGAAATTCCTTCTGTTTGAGTACAATCATTCTAGACACTGAGGCTAAGGGTGGCTATCTGCTGTGCCATAAGGTGAAGGAMCCTCTATAGGGAAAAGAGATTTGAGGAGTTTGGAAATCAGACTGGGCCTAAGCCACAAAAGGAAGGCCTTAACAGAAGTGTTGAATCTAATCATTGAATTTGAATTTCAGTCATTGAAATCATGAAATTTATTGGTGCTATTACCTAATTCTAACTATGTCTTATTTTAGAATATGGTATTTCCTATAGGATTAGCAGAGTACAATTCACTTAGTAGTTTTATACTTATAAAATTTCAGACATGATTTTTCCCTTTGACCTAGCTTATTGTTTCTCTGTGGTGGTGATGTTACTGGCACTTTGGGCTGGACAGTTCTGTGGTAGATGAAGAAGAATAATTAGCATCACTGGCTGGCTGGGCATTGAATGTTAGGGGCATCCCTCAGTCACTGTGACCACCAATGGTATATGTCTGGGATTAACTTTGGATACAGTACTCTAGTTAAGAAGAAAGAAAGAGGAACATAAAAAGAGTTTGGTAATTGTTGCAGTTAGATGGGGTGAGGTATGCTATTGTCCATTCCTGGTGGACAGGCAGGCAGGTGGGTCCAGGTTCCCTGCAGCGTCCTCCACCCCAAGCACATAGTCCTCTTGGCAGGAGGTCTTGCATTAATTATATTAAATGAATGGTGGTCTTCCAAAAGGGAAAGAATATTGAAAATGAAAAGGTATCTCATGTGCTCAAAATGAAGAACAAGCTCTACTCTCTTTATTCCATGTTTGTAGTTACTGAGAAACTCATGTTTGTTGGGCAGTTGAAAAGCTAAATGTCTTACTTTCTTACACAGTTAAACATGACTGGGAAAAAATGACAGAAGCTGTACAGAATCACATTGGCTCTCTGAACTGGGGCTACCGTGTAGCTCTACGGGAGAAAAAGGTGGTCTATGAGAACGCTTTTGGGCAATTTATTGGACCTCATAGGATCAAGGTAATTGTAAAAGCAGCATCCTCTGTAACTTTTTTTTTTTTTTAAGCTTTGGTTGGTGCTGGGGAGAAAAAGAGTTACAATATTAAAAGTATTATAATAAAAGTGCAAGTCACTGTGACCCAGACTGTCCAGTTTGGTGATTTTGACATCCGTGGGGGTGTGGTGGAGTGTCAGCATACTGGGCCAGATTACCTGGATTTCAGGCTTGGCTCTGTCATTTGCTAGCATTGTGACCTTAATATCTCTTTCTTAATGAATCATCAAATTTTTGTGTGGCTCAAATGAAACACTGAAGAACAAGTCTTTGTTAACTTTTAAGTTAATTTTAAGAACTAATTACTTATTAGAGTTGATGTATTGGGTTCTTTTGTAGGCAACAAATAACAAAGGCAAAGAAAAATTTTATTCAGCAGAGCGATTTCTCATTGCCACTGGTGAAAGGCCACGTTACTTGGGCATCCCCGGGGACAAGGAGTACTGCATCAGCAGGTAAGGTTAAATACAAATGTTTTTAGAATTGAAAACTACAAGCACTGGTCATTCTGCCACTTAAAGTCAATATTAACAACACTGCTAACATACTTCTATATAGATACACACTTGTTTGTGTTTGAAATTATCTCTGCCTCATCCAGAGCAGCCCAGGTGGCACATGTTGCCATGGCTCTCTTGGAAGTGCTGTCATAGTCTGGGCTGCTGTAACAACTAACTTAACTGGGGTAGCTGAAATACCAGAAATTAATTTCTCATAGTTCTGGAGGTTGGGAAGACCAAGGTCAGGTGATCAAGGTGTGGGCAGATTCTGTGTCTGCTGAGGGTCTGTTGCTTTGTTTGTAGATGGCATCTTCTTTCTGTGTTCTCAGCTGGTAGAAGCTGCACAGGCAGCTCTCTGTCTTTCATCAAGACACTAGAGCTCCGCCTTCATGACCTGATCACCTATGAAGGACACCGCCTCATAACACCATCTTCTCTTGGGGGCTAGGACTTCAACATGTGAATTTTGGTGGGGGGAATGGGAACAAACATTAGTCTCAACAGATACCCTACCCTACTCTTCCCTCCACTTCCCTCCACTCCCTTCTGCATTCCTCTTCCTCCTTCTTTCCTCCCTCCCTTCCTGTCTTTCTTGACATGGTCTTACTATGTTGCCCAGGCTGGTCTCAAACTCCCGGGGTTCATGTGATCCTCTTCCCTCAGGCTCCTAAGTATCTGGATTATAGGTCCATGCTACTTGCCCAACTTGCTTTTTATATATATTTTTAATTTGTTCTAATTAGTTTTACATGACAGTAGAATGCATTTTGACACATTGTACACAAATGGAGCACACCTTCTCATTCCTGTGGCTGTACATGGTGCTGAGTCACACCAGTAACACAATCACACAGGTATATAGGGTAATGAAGTCTGTCATTCTACTGCTGATTTTCATATTTTAAAAACTTTTTAAATTTGGTACCAGGAATTGAACCCAGGGGCCTTAGCCACTGAGCCACATGCCCAGCCCTTTTTCTTATTCTCACTGAGTTGCTTGGGGCCTTGCTAAGTTGATGAGGCTCGCTTTGAACTTTCTGTCCTCCTGCCTCTGTTTTCCGAGCTTCTGGGATTACAGGTGTGCACTAATGTGCCTGGTTAAAAACTCTTTTTTAACAATGCTTTAATGATATCTTATATGACTTATGTATTCTCTTAACTATAAGATTTTCATCATGTTTTACTCTTTATACTTATTTTAATATTATAAAAACAAGATTTTGAAAAATTTTCTCACCTTTCTCTTCACTTTTTTTTTTTTTGTACCAGGGATTGAACTCAGGGGCACTCAGCCACTGGGGCACATCCCCAGCCCTATTTTATATTATATTTAGAGATGGGGTCTCACTGAATTGCTTAGGGCCTCACTTTTGCTGCRGCTGGCTTTGAACTCACGATTCTCTTGCTTCAGCATCCTTAGCAGCTGGGATTACAGGCTTGTGCCACCACACCCTGTTTTCTCTGCTCTTAATAATCGATATTCCAAGTGAGAAATAACATAGGCTTTTTACCTTTGACAGAAGCTGAAGGTGGGGTTTGGGTTTGCAATTGTATTATGTGTTTCATGCAGTTAAATCATGTGGCTGTAGGTTGGAATGTTGTCAGGAAGTAAATGGTTTGCTCTGTTTAGCAACTGGGCTTGAGCTACTCTGAAAGAAACTAGCAAGAAAGGGAAAATATCTTAAGATTTTATAAAAACTTCTCATGTGTAGCTAATTGAATGTTTATAATATTAAAAATTTCTTGTTCTTATTTGGTTTAGTCACTATTCATATATGAACCTTTTTCTATATTTTCTTTCTTCTTTCCCTATCCCTTTAAATTCTTTTCAGTGATGATCTATTTTCCTTACCTTACTGCCCGGGTAAGACCCTGGTGGTTGGAGCATCCTATGTCGCTTTGGAATGTGCTGGATTTCTTGCTGGTATTGGTTTGGATGTCACTGTTATGGTGCGGTCCATTCTCCTGAGAGGATTTGACCAGGACATGGCCAATAAAATTGGTGAACACATGGAAGAACATGGTATCAAGTTTATAAAGCAGTTTGTACCAATTAAAGTAAGTGGGGTTGACCATGGGTTTACTGATTTTGTACTCATGATGAAAGGCAAACAGAGGGTTAGGTTTGGGTAGTGGAGACATCGTTTGGGCATTATAAACCATCGGGAGTCCTAATTCCTCACCTTTTATATATTGAAATAAGCTTGTACCTGCCCACTGCTTAAATAACTCTGCTCTTATTTATGGATTAATAATACCTTCTTTGTCAACTTACTCTTGGTACTTTCTTGATTAAAACTTTCTGTTTTTGCATTCTTTTATAATGTTGTCTTTGGTCTGCTGTATTTTATTTCATCATATGTAGTAGAGATTTAAAAATAAGGGTTCAAGGGTAGGCTGACTTTGTTTTTCTTTGTGAGACATTTTCCCAGGGTATGTGATATATTAAATTATGTACTATGTCACTCTGGCTTTCCAGGAAACAGTTAACTTCATTTCATTTTATGGGCTCTTTTTTGGTCATTTGGTCTTTATTTCCAAAGGCCTAAAATATGCCAAATTATATCTGAGACCTTGTTAACATTACCACAATGTTTTGACATATGAGAGTGACAAAATTGATAAGTTAGTGATACTTTCCTTTAGTGCAGGATAGACTATCATGGTCAAGTTTAGAAATTTTAGCTATTTGTTTCCTCTTTCAGTGACTTGACTTGAGTTCTTTGTATGGCCATGGGTCTCTTTGCTGATGGGTAAAAGTATGAGCTTTGGGATAAGAATGACCTGTATTCAAATCTTGTCAGTTTCCACATGACTCATTCATTTAATGTCTGTGAGCCTYGGTTTCTTTTGTAAAGTGAGAAAGATAATGATTATCTCCGAGTTCTGAGTGAGGATTACATTAGCTAACTTTTAAGCCATTGGAACAGTACCTGGCATAAAAGAAGTCTAAGAGAATCCATTTCATAGTACTGTTGTGGGGATCACAAGTCTGCTGTTTCTAGGAAGTAGATGGCTACATTTGCATTAAGGCTGAGAGTAAGAAACAACTGAATGTGTGGGTTTTGCTGGTAGTAAAGTTAATCTTCCTGTGTAATCTCTTAATATTTGGAGAGTTTGTGAAAACCTGGTGGACTGTGCCTCCTTAAATAGTATTATCAAAGTGTCTGGGTAGTGGATTATTGCTGTACTGTAAAGTGCTGAGTGGAAGGAGCCTTTTGTGAAGAGGTGGGAGAACAGGACATTTTGGTCAGAGGTTATAATGTATACAGAAAGGCTCTGGGGAGGAAAATTGGTCTAGACACAGAGAAAGCCTGGCTAGAGTACAAAGTGAATAAGGGCAACGATAGGATGAGGCTCTTTACCTACCAYTTTGAAACAAATATAAGCTATGAACCAATTGAATTCCTCTCCAAAGATGAGAACTTTTTAATTTAAACAGGAGAGACTTCCAGTGCACTCCTAAGAGATTTAACTATATAAGAAAGGAAGAGAATTCAAGAAGAAAATCTTTACTGTTATTGATGTCAAAAGTAAAATGACCCTGAAGAATGTTCCCGAACAGAGTGATTATATTTTAAAGGTAGGGCAGAAATTGCAGGTGGTTTTATTGTTTTCTTCCAGGAAATATTTTATAAAAGCCCATGATTGGCTGTTACTCAGAGACAGTAGGTTAACTACAGACTTGAGGAAGTTTCCAGGTGGCAGTGCCTCTATGTCATTGTTAYCCAGAATGGATTAGCCTTGACACCTTCCTGTAATAAGTTGGTATGTTCATTCTCTTGCTGTAGCACAGATGTTTTCCTTTCTGCCTCCTTAACAGCCATTGAAACACATACATCTCTTTGCCACTATGGTTTTTACAGCTTGCTAGCTGTCATTAAAATTATTAATAATCTACTTCAATACCTGTTCTTTGTTGTCAGTGATGTGACTATCTGAAGTCAGAAGGGAATTTCTGAATTTGAGCAGTAGTGACTTTCCCATGGTGAAAGCTTCTGGGTGAATTATGAGATAGGAAATGGGAAAAGCAGTTGAGATATTGGTCTGATTTTTAGGGACTGGCATGTACATTCTCTGGCTTTTTTTTTTTTTTTTTTAAACCTGTTTTTCCCTCTGAACTTTACTATTTGAAAACAGCCTCTCTAAGAAGCAGTGTTAAGCTGTGACAAAGAAGGGGCTAGCTAAATAAAAGAATCTCGTATCATCCTAATGATGTGAAGGTGAGGTAATTGGGATATAAAATGCTTTTTAAGCCAGATTTTATATTTCAACTTTGGGTTAGCCAGATTGACAGGGAAGACAATTATTTTCCTTAATAAACGTCTATCAAAACTTTATCACTTTTGCAGATTGAACAAATTGAAGCAGGGACACCAGGCCGACTCAGGGTGACAGCTCAGTCCACCAATAGTGAGGAAATCATTGAAGGAGAGTATAATACGGTAAGGAGATGCCCAGGGCACTATTCCAACAGAAAGCAAGTAACATGCTTCTTGGTTCTCTGTTGTGTACTTACAATGACTCCTTTTAAAATCACTTATTCTGAGCCCCTTCTAAGATATCTTCAGTACTTCTGATATTATAATTTGTTTTGACAAAGGGTRGCTTCATATTTTCTCTACTGTAACTTAAAATATTGTTTTATCAAACGGCTAAAAAAGGTATCAGATGTTTTTGAATGAGTTAGAATTTCTCTGTCCCTTTTACCTCCCAGCCTGCCACTTGGAAAATAACTTAATCAGTCATAGAGTATGTTGTGTTTGTCTGTAAACTTGGCTGAGTTTATTAAGGCATTAATTCTTTCTCATTATTAATAAGAAAYAAAGAGCTATTTCTGCTGTATCATGTTGGAGAGGTTTTTTTTAATTGAGGGTTTTAATTTGTTTTAACTTGTATTATTAAGTATTTATTACTAAGTAGGAAATGAAACTATATTAGCTTAATAATCTGAAAAATGTTTAATTCATGCAAAGGTTTTTAAAAAGTCTATTAATTTTTCAGGTACTGCTGGCAATAGGAAGAGATTCTTGTACAAGAAATATTGGCTTAGAAACTGTGGGGGTGAAGATAAATGAAAAGTAAGAAAAAAACATTGTCATTCAATACTATTTCACTTATTCCTAACATTGATCAATTCTAGAGTATTTTAAAGTTATTTTTAACATAGTTGGAGAGTTCCCTTTTTTGGTTTAGAAAATAGAACACTCTTCAGTGCCACTCATATTAGTGTTTCCTGCATTTATTTTGTTTTGTTGGTTATTTTAATTTAGAATTGTCTCTGTAAGGTTTCTTTCTTTTTTTGGCCATACTAATAGGCTCAAACCCAGCATTCTACCTCTGAGCTACATCTGTAGCCTCCTTATAATAATTTTATTTTGATAAAAGGTCTTGCTAAGTTGCCTGGGCTGGCATTAAACTTGTGATCYTTGGTCCTCAGCCTCCCAAGTAGCTGGGTCTATARGTATACACAATGTAGTGTGCCTGGACAGAGGTTTCCTATAGTTTTCTTATTTCTTTGATTTTTCACAATATTGCCAGGATTGTCACTAATCGTTTTGGTTCCTCTAAGCTTTTTAATAATACACTAGAACATCGTTCTCAGAGTCAGTTTTGGGCTTCATGGGGAGAAAGGGGATTTAGTTCTATTTAGTTGATATTAGTAATGACAGTAATTTTTAATTAAACGAATTTACAGAACTGGCAAAATACCTGTCACGGATGAAGAACAGACCAATGTGCCTTACATCTATGCCATTGGTGATGTATTGGAGGGAAAGCTGGAACTTACCCCAGTGGCCATCCAGGCAGGAAGATTGCTGGCCCAGAGGCTTTATGCTGGCTCCACTGTCAAGGCAAGTGCTGTCGTCCACTGAGACACTCTTTTTAATAATCCTCTCTGTCCYGTTTAGTGGTGCAGTTGGGAAATGCACCAGGTTTGAGTAATTTAGTACTTTGGTAATGACATTCTAGATCTGCTTTATTAAGTGTATTCCAAATGATACATTGTTAGGTCTGCTATACATTTGTGACTTTATTATGAAAATTGTCACTTTTGGAATCACACTTAGAATAAAGAGGAGCTAGTTGTGTTTCATATACTTACAATAGTTGCATTTTCCATCAGTTTCATTATTATCACTGAAAGTATAATTTTCTAAGTCTTTTTTTTTGTACCTATCTAAGCTATAAAAGGATTTGGGGATTTTAGGCAAAAGTTTCAGTGTGCAGAGTTGTTTAAACTACTGTTCAGACTTTGTTCCCCAGTCCTTTCAAAGAAAATGTCTTTTGTTCTTAGGATATTAAATATGTTTTATGCTAATGTTAATGCTTTAGAGTGATTTTGTTTAAAGTCACAGTAGAAAATTGAATGCTTCCTTTTGTAGTATAGAACCAGATGGCCAAAAAGAATAATATACCCTAATTATTTTTTAAAAAGGAATTCTGGGAAAATGAATTGTGAAGAATTTAGTTACTACCCATTTTCCTTGAATATAAATCATCATGGGTTGGCTACAGTAATGGAAATCTCATGGAATGATGCTAGTACAGTTTATTTGTGGCCTGGAGTTATTCTGGATTTGTAGCATAATAAAATCTGATTAGAGATTAGGGGTAGAAGGGTTCTGTCAGAGTGGCTAGATAGGGTTCATATTCCTATTGGAACAAAGATAACAAGATCACCTCTTTGAGTTAAATCTTATATTCATTATCGGAGATAATGAGTATCTGGTAAGTCAAGAAAGGGCATTCAGAAATATAGCTTGAGATGTATTTGGTTTTTTAATTTATATCTTGCAGATTCCTGAAATAAAAAAGAAATATTTTTATATAACAGCAATAACCAAAGGGTGAACATGAAAAAGATTGCACTAAATTTGAAATCATGTGGCACAGAATTTCTTAAAATCTGGATATTTTCATTTCCTTGTGGATAGTCCTTCTACATCTTGTTGGTAGTCTCAAGTGAATCTCTGGAGGTCTGAGAACTCTCTTTGTGTAACCCCCTCCTCTTTGGTAGTCTGCCTTATAGCTGCAAGCCACCCTGGCTGCCCTGAGCTGTCATCACTGTCTCTAACTGGGAAAGACTGCCAGGCTCTTCAAGTTTCCCCTCACGGCATGGAGGTCCAGGAGTCCCTCTGGGCAGTAACCCCGAGCCAGCAGAGGGCCCACCTCCTTCTGTTTCCCTTCTCTTGAGGGCCACAGGTGCTGCTGCTTGTCCAGTGTCCATTTTTGTCTGGTTTGTTCTTATTTAATGTAGGAGGGTAGCTCTGGCTCATGGCATACCAATTACTTGAAGTGGATATCTGCCTTTTGTATTAGAGAAATCCAAGTATGTTTATGGTCTTTTTAGAGAATAAGAATTATATTTATTGTTTCTGGCATATTTTAAAGATTTTATACTATATTTTAGAGAATGAGAATTGCATTTTTCACATTTTAAATGTAGAATGTTGCTTAGGCTTATTGTCTTCTGGTGGTCTTCGTTCCCATTTTAGTGGCTCCATAATAGTACACTGACCGTATGTATGTGTTACATTCTAATTCTTGGGGGTTATTTTAAAGCCACTTTTAATATTGCCACTGTTGAAGAGGACTGCAGCAAAACTCAATCAGTATATGTAGCCTTTTCTATGTATGAAATTATCATGCCATTATAATTATAGTAGCATGTTATTGTAATAACATAATCTTATAAATTTTTTAAAAGTAGGATTATTGATCCAAAGGTGTAAAATACTTTTATGACTCCTATATGTATTACCTAATTGATTTCAAAGAATTCTGTTAATTTTTGTCTCTAATCTGAGATTATCAGGTCTGATAATTTCCTATATATTGTTTTTTGCTACTTTATTTAGAGGAGAGAAAGTGGTAATTGAAGGTAACATCAGTTGGTAGCTGCCACAATATGAGGATGCTGATCTTTTCTTTATAATCATTCTTRCCAGACTTCAAGCCTCTACAAAGACTTTTCACATGAGTGGGTGATTCTCAGTGTAGTTAGTGTCTGGGATTGGGATTTCACATGCTTTTGATAGAAATTTATTTCTGCTTTCCTTTCCCACTTTTGAACCATTTAAAAAATTTTTCTAATTTGTTATATATGACAGCAGAATGCATCTTCGATTCATATTACACATATAGAGCATGACTTTTCCTGTCTCTGGTTGTACACAAAGTAGAGTCACACTATTTGTGTCATCATACATGTACTTAGGGTATTGATGTTCATCTCATTCCACCATCTTCCCTACCCCTAGACAGCCTCCCTTCCCCTGTCTCCCCTTTGCCCTATCTAAAGTTCCTCCATTCCTCCCATGCTCCCCACCCCAATCCCCATTATGGATCAGCATCCTCATATTGGAGAAACCATTTGGCATTTGTTTTTTTGGGATTGGCTTACTTCACTTAGCATAATATTCTCCAACTCCATCCATTTACCTGCAAATGCCATGATTTTATTCTCTTTTAATGCTGAGTAATATTTCATTGTGTCTATATGCCACATTTCCTTTATCCATTCACCTACTGAAGGGCATCTAGGTTGGTTTCACAATTTTGCTATTGTGAATTGTGTTGCTCTTATACATTGATATGGCTGTGTCCCTATAATACGCTTTTTAAAAGTCCTTTGGGTATAAACCAAGGAGAGGGATAGCTGGGTCAAATGGTGGTTCCATTCCAAGTTTTCCAAGGAGTCTCTATACTGCTTTCCAGATTGTCTGCAATTTGCAGTCCCACCAGCAATGTATGAGTGTGCCTTTCCCCCACATCCTTCCAACACTTATTGTTGTTTGTATTCTTGATAGCTGCCATTCTGACTGGAGTGAGATGAAATCTTAGAGTATTTTTGATTTGCATTTCTCTAATTGCTGGTGATGTTGAACATTTTGTCATATCTGTTCAGTTCCTTGGCCCATTTATTGATTTTTTTGCGGGGGGGGGGTGTTAAGATTTTGAGTGCTTTATATATCCCAGAGATTAGTGCTCTATCTGATGTTCATGTGGTAAAAATTTGCTCCCATCCTGTAGGTTCTCTGTTCACCTCACCATAAGCTCTCTATTCACCTCTTTATTCAYCTCACTCTATTTATCTCACTTTGTCTTTTGGCGAGAAGAAGCTTTTTAGTTTGAATCCATCCCATTTATTGATTCTTGATTTTATTTCTTAATGCTATAGGAGTCTTTTTAAGGAAGTCAGGCCTAATGTGACAAAATGGATTCTATCCATTATCCATTTTATCCTACTTTATCTTCTGTTAGGCACAGGGTCTCTGCTTTAATTCCTAGGTCCTTGATCCACTATGAGTTGAGTTTTGTCCATGGTGAGAGATAGGGGTTTAATTTCATTTTGTGTATATGGATTTCCAGTTTTCCTAGCACCATTTGTTGAAGAGGCTATCTTTTCTTTAATATATGTTTTTGGCACCTTTGTCTAGTATAAAATAACTGTAATTATGTGGGTTTGTCTCTGTGTTCTCTATTTTTCACCATTGGTCTACAAGTCTGTTTTGGTGCCAATATCATGCTGTTTTTTGTTACTATTGCTCTGTAGTATCGTTTAAGGTCTGGTATAGTGATGCCACCTGCTTCCCCCTTCCTGCTAAAGATTGCTTTAGTTATTCTGGGTCTCTTATTTTTCCAGATGAATTTCATGACTGCTTTTTCTATTTCCATGAGGAATGTCATTGGGATTTTGATTGGAATTGCATTAAATCTGTATAGTGCTTTTGGTAGTATGGTCATTTTGAAAATATTTATTCTGCCTATCCAGGAACAAGGTAGATCTTTCCATCTTCTAAGGTCTTCTTTAATTTCTTTCTTTAGTATTTTTAAAAAATATTTATGTTTTAGTTTTTTAGGTGACACAATATCTTTATTTTCCTTTATGTGGTGCTGAGGATCGAACCCAGTGCCTCATGCATGCCAGGCAAGCACRCTACCACTTGAGCCACATCCCGAGTCCTCTTTAGCATTTTGTAATTTTCATTGTAGAGGTCTTTCACCTCTTTCATTAGATTGATTCCCAGGTATTTTGTTTATTTTTTTTGTGACTATTGTAAAATGGGTAGTTTTCCTAGTTTCTCTTTCAGAGGATTTGTCTCTGATGTACAGAAATGTTTTTGGTTTATGGGTATTGATTTTATATCCTGCTACTTGGCTGAATTCATTTATTCTATTGTTTTCTGGTGGAATTTTTTGGGTCTTCTAGGTATACAATCATATCATCGGCAAATAGTGATAATTTGAATTCTTTTTCCTATCTATATCCCTTTAATTTATTTTGTCTAATTGCTCTGGCTAGAGTTTCAAGAACTGTGTTAAATAGGAGTGATGAAAGAGGGCATCCCTGTCTTATTCCATTTTTTAGAAGGAATGCTTTCAGGTTTTCTTCATTTAGAATAATGTTGGCTTGGGGCTTAGCATAGATACCTTTTATACTGTTGAGGTATGTTCCTGTTATCCCTAGTTTTTCTAGTGTTTTGAACATGAAGGGATGCTGTATTTGTCAAATGCTTTTTCTGCATCTATTGAGATGATCATATGATTCTTATTTTTAAGTCTGTTGATGTGATGAATTACATTTATAGATTTCCATATGTTGATCCAACCTTGCATTCCTGGGATGAACCTCACTTGACCATGGTGCACTATCTTTTTGATATGATTTTGTGTTTGATTTGCCAGAATTTTATTGAGGATTTTTGTATCTATGTTCATTAGAGATATTGGTGGTCTGAAGTTTTCTTTGATATATCTTTGTCTGGTTTTGGAATCAGGATGTTATTGGCCTCATAGAATGAGTTTGGAAGTGTACTTTTGAATCATTTTTAAGAATACCTGTTTTAGGATTTGCCTATCATAATTCTCTTCCCTGGTTTTGAAACAGTGTGACTATGAAAATGTTCCAACAACCGTATTTACTCCTTTGGAATATGGTGCTTGCGGCCTTTCAGAAGAGAAGGCTGTAGAGAAATTTGGGGAGGAGAACATTGAGGTAAGCTCTTCTTTTTTTCTTCATCTTGGACTAAGCTATACTACTTTTTTTCATCAAAATTTTAAAGTAATTTCAAGTATACACAAAAGTTTAAAAATGATGCAAAGAACTTCCTTATAGCCGTTGTCTAGACTCAATTATTATTACATTTTGTTCATTTATTTTATAAACTTTCATATTCTCTTGCTCTTGACTCTCTGAGCCATTTCGGAGTAAATTGAATGCTACTTTTTATCCTTTGATATTTCAGTGTATTTGTAATGAACAAGGGTGAACCACATTTATTTAGTTTTAATTATTGAAATATGAGAAATACAGCAAAGTGAAAACAAAAAAAAAAACCGTTTTCTTGCTTTGACCTATGTAATGATTGCTATTTTAGCATTACTGTCTGATCTATATTAACTTCACCACTCACCTTTTATCATGTAGTAAAGACATTGTATATTAAATATGACTTTTTAAAAAATATTTTTTAGTTGCCAGTGGATTTTTCACTTTATTTGTTTGGTTATTTGTGGTGTTGAGGATCGAACCCAGGGCCTCACACATGCCAGACAAGGGCTTTACCACTGAGCCACAACCCCAGTCCCTGTATATGACTTTTTTTTTTTTTTTTTTAAAGAGAGAGAGAGAATTTTTTTAATATTTATTTTTTAGTTTTTGGCGGACACAACATCTTTGTTTGTACGTGGTGCTGAGGATCGAACCCGGGCCGCACGCATGCCAGGCGAACGCACTACCACTTGAGCCACATCCCCAGCCCATGACTTTTTAATATACACAAATAATACTACTTAAAAGGACTGCAGCATGCATTTAAATCACAGGGGAAAATCTTTCCAGTAAAACATTCTAAAATGTTTTTTTTATTCACAGATTTGTGAATAAAAGTCAACCTTATGATATAAAACCCTCTTTTTTTTTCTTAAATACTTTTAAAGATGTTGATGGATCTTTATTTTATTCATTTATTTATATAATGTGGTGCTGAGAATTGAACCTAGTGCCCCACACATGCTAGGCAAGCACTCTACCACTGAGCCACAACCCCAGCCCATAAAAGCTTCTTTTAACTACCTGACAATCTTTTATTTTATGCATGGATAGTAGCATGTAATATCTTAGTTTATTAGGAACACATTATTAACATTTTTTTCTGATTTTAAAAATAGTATAACTTCATTTATAGAATGTTTGAAACAGCAAAAAGACTATATTTTAATTCATGAAGAAATGACTGCTATTAATATTTTTGCGTATTTCCATCTAGACCATAAATATTTATACAGATTGAATATTCCTAATCTGAAGTGGTTGGGACCAGATTTTTTTTTCTTTTGCACATATATAGTGAGATGTGGCTGGGATTGGACCCAAGAAATATGAAATCCACTTGTTTCAATTTATACACATAGTTTGAAGGTGTGGAATATTTTCCTCTTGGGCATCCTATCAGCACTCACATCCTCCGATTTTAGAGCATTTCAGATTTTAGATGAAGATTAGGGATRCTCAACCTCTATTGCATGTATGTGTGTATATATGTGGGAGCATTAATTTTGTGTGGGTGGGCACATGTTAAGTTTTCAAAGTATGATTAACTGTTTTCATTTTTGTCCTTCAATTTTCTAAAAACACCATTTTTAGAAATGTGTAATAATTTGAATTTTTAAGGGATGTCATACTTTAATTCGTTAAGTCCCTTTTGTTTAGGTTGTTTATAGTTTTTCACAACTATAGATGAATGAATATCTTTATAATTCATTGTTTATTGTTCTTTTTTTTAAGGATAGATTACCTATCAAAGCTATTTAAATTTTGAGGTTCCTAATAAATATTTTTATTTCTTCATAGACTTTTATGAAGAAAAACAAATATTTTTGTGTCAAAAGTAAGATGTTTGAGTTGAAATTTTGAAAAAATATAAGGAAAATAGGAAATTCATCACAGATTGTCTGTACCATAGCAATCGTTAGCAGTTTGGAGTAATGTTCTTAATCTTTTCCCTTCATAATTGTTGCGATACTGTACATTTAATTTTGCAACCTACATTTATTTAAAAAAATTAATCATGTCATCATAACCAATGTGCTTTTACAAGGATCACTAACTGTGTGTTTTGAACTGAGGCCTTAACAGTTGCTGGAGAAAAATCTATCTTTGAGTTATCTGTGAGTTAATCTCAGTTAGTATGTCTACCCTCCCTGCACCCTCAGGTGCTGTTAGTGATAATGCCATAAGAGGAAATGTCTTTTGGAAATATAAACAAGGGATCTAGATGATTATGATGATTATTTCTGGCTCTTTATTTGTTTCTTGTCCAAAGTTGTCATTCTTATGAGGTAAACATACTATATTGAGTTTTTTGAGTTAGTTTTTAAAAAATTAATTAATTAATTGATTTTAATCGGGTATATTGGTTAGTTTTTAGTATAGGACAGTAGTTACATGACTTCTTTCATTTCCTATTTTCTTTATTTTAATTATTTTTGGTTTTAGTTTAATTTATTTAGTTTTTTTTTTTTTTTTTTAAGTGGTGCTGGGGATCGAACCCAGTGCCTTGCACATGCTAGGCAAGCACTCTACCACTGAGCCACAACACCAGCCCATCATTTCCTATTTTTCTTTGTTACTATTACTTAAGGTTTACTTTGAGGTTGGATTATTATTAAGGGATGAATTTATTTCAAAAAATCCCTGAGTAGGGTGTGTCAATTGCCTTTATACCATCTCCTGTGAATTCATGGATTTTATCATTTAATTAAACTCTTAATTATTAAAGAGCTTTTTCTTTCACCAGATCTGAAGTCTGCAAACTTGCTACATAAGAAAGTTTAAATTGTGCCTATATCCTTTTAGGTTTACCATAGTTTCTTTTGGCCACTGGAATGGACAGTTCCATCAAGAGATAACAACAAATGTTATGCAAAAATAGTCTGTAATCTGAAAGACAATGTAAGTACAATTCTGAATCCTTCTAATAATCTCATTTAGCTTTTAATATATGGTTGAATTTTTAAAGTGTATATATATATATATTTTAGTTGTAAATGGACACAATAACTATTCTTACCTGGTGCTAAGGATTGAACCCAGTGCCTCAAACATGCTAAGTGAGAGTTCTATCACTGAGCCACAACACCAGCCCATGTAGCTCTATTTTTATTACTGGGAAACTGAGATTTTACTGCTTGGCACCTCTAAAATTCAGGAGACAAAGGTTGATGAAGAAAAACAAGTTTATTCAAAGCTTGAGGAAGATAGAGGAGACCTTTTTGTCTTAAGTTTCCATCTTTGTGGAGCTCAGAGAAACAGGTTTTATAAGAGGGGAAGGTGATACACTGAGACAACAGGCAGGAACTGTACATGCATAGATTTAACTAGGCTGTGCTAACCCAGGATGTTACAGTTCATTTCCCTGTCACCTGGCCCAAGTCAGGGGGTTCTCAGTTTGCACTCTCAGCAGGAGATGCAGAAGAGCAGCTATGAAAAAGTTGCTTTTACTTTTAAAGTTGCTGTGCTTGATTTTGACCACACGCTGTGTAGGGCACTACTCTAGTGTCTCACCTGCAGTCCCCCAGCTGTGTGCTCACCCTTCACTGGCAGAGGCCTTGGCTCCACTGCCTGCATTCCCCATCATTCCCCACGGCTGCATTGGTGCAGGGCCCTATACATAAGTAGCAGGCAATCAGTTCAGGGCAGGAAGGAGCCCAAGGAACAACTTCTGTGTTTGTGTTTATAAGTGAGTAGCAATGAAGTCACTGACTATCTAGAAATAATAAACAAAAAAGAATAGGAATGATGCAGATTTGAGCCCCAGCTGCTGGCACCAGAGAAACCTGCCTTGGGAAGAGCCCTTAACTGAGGTCCGATTCGAGCTCTGCCTGGAGCCTCTGGTAGCTAAGCCTGTTGGCATACTCCCAGGCCTCGGAGAGTTTGTGTCTTTACAGAATGAGGGACTGAAGCATCAGTGTTCTTCAAACTCTTGACTGCTGCCACACAGTAAGAAATGTATTTTACATGATAAACCAGGACACATGTATGTTCATACACATACTCTTTTAAGTATTGTACTTGATCATAGAAAATGGATAATTTTAACTTACCTGGCACATTGCCTTTAAACAAAATGCCCTCAGTAAAAATATAAATAATGCTAAGGAATCTATTCATTAAAAAGCCTAATAAGCTCTATTTTTAATCTTTAGTTTTGAATAGATGTAAACCATGTGTCTTATATAGTAACTACTGCTCCAGACAGGGACATAATTGCAGATTTTTTTTAATATGTATTTTTTAGTTGTAGTTGGACACAATACCTTTATCTTATTTACTTATTTTCATGTGGTGCTGAGGATCGAACCCAGGGCCTCACTTGTGCTATGCAAGCGCTTTACTGCTGAGCTACAATCCCAGCCCACAATTGCAGATTTTTTATTCTTTCTTTATTTTTTTGCAGAACCTAGAGTTTTAGGAGATACTTCTTAGATTCTCTACAAAAGAGGTCATCATTGAGGCATTTAATAAAAAAATACTAGAATAATCCATAATGAATATGCCATTGGCATAAAAATGATTGTATATAGTTTTCTTTTTAGACATTTTATTAAAAGTTTGTTTATGTGTGCATACATTAGATATCCATTCTACTGCAGAGAAAAGATATGGAGAAAGCATGAGGTATTCTTCTTGGCAATGTCACCTCTCTTGGGTGAGCGAGACTTCAGTTGCATGGAGCAACATAAAGTTTCCTTCATGCCAAGCAAATCCATTTTAACTATGTGCAGTTGTTTTTTCCCCCATTGTTATTTATTCTGGTAGCTTGCTTGTGTAATATGAAAAATAAGTTTCACTGCCAATAAACCTTCCTTACCTAAAACAATTGAGGTCATAATATTTTCATGGACAAAGATAGTAACAAAGAAGATCTATGTTGTTGCTCTTCTGTCATGAGCAAGCTGATGCAAAAGCATGCTTCTAGAACTTCTGACTGTCCTTGGAGCATGCTTTACTCATTTTGAGTCAGTCATCTGACTTTAGTGTCCAAATGTCCTTGATTTTTTTTTTTAAATGTATCACTTTTTTTTAATTGATTTTATTATTTTTTTTAAATACACGACAACTGGAATGTATTACAATTCTTATTATACATATAGAGCACAATTTTTATGTTCATGCCATGTCCTTGATTTTTAAATCTGCTAGTTTTTACATATTTTAACATAGAATATATATAAATATATGTAAAGACAGGGAAAGTGCCCACAATTCAGAGTCATTGAACATTTTTGCCATATTTGCCATAATCACAGGTATTGTTTATAAATAGCATAGATTTATTGAACACTTAACTGTATCAGATACTAAAAGATCTGCATTAATAGGTATTAATTTATTAATATGTTTAATAAGTATTAGCTTATTTAATCCTTATATAATCCTATGGCATGTGCGCTGTTATTTCCTTCATTTCCTACTAGAGGAAACTGAAGCGCACAAAATTTAAGTATTTATCTCATTAATAACAGAGTTGGAATTTAATTCCAGTCAAGGTAGAGCCCTTTTAAGCCATCTCCTCCTCCTGTAGTCTTTTCAAAACTCCCCCAGAGGCACAACTCTGAAGTCAGAGGGTCTCTCCTTTTTGTTTCTGTTCATTCATAATGTTATGTTTTTATAAATGTCACACAGTGTTTTGTGGTTTTAGAATGTTATCTTCAGTAAATACAACCTGGTGCATTGTTCGTTTTTTTTTTTTTTTTTTAATGTTTTTTTAGTTCTATGTGGACACATTGCCTTTATTTTATTTTTATGTGGTGCTGAGGATCGAACCCAGTGCTTCACATGTGCCAAGCGAGACTCTACCACTGAGCTACAATTTTTGCCTTTACCTTGTTTTTTAAATCTATTTTTATTTTTTGAAATCYTCCCATGTTATTACATGTAAATCTAGTGTATTTTAAGTTTTTTTAATAACTCACAACACAGATCTTCTTTATTCAACTTTGAACTCCTGATTGTCCAACACAGAATGTGTCATAGTACTTTGGCACTAAAGTGACCTTTCTGATTGTTGCCAGAGACTGGCTGAATAGTTCTGCACCCAGTTGAATGGCCTCAAGTGTTGTGAGGAAATGAGACTAGGTAGTTTAGCTTATTCAGGGTTGGCTCTTGAAAAACTGAGTACAGCCATAGAATGCACCAGGTTTCTCTGCTCTTGGCAGAGGTAGCCTGAGTTTAGGATTTAGAATTTATCCAAAGTAATTCCCAAACAGGTAGCTCAGAGTTGCTAGACCTTTTCCTTTTGCTTTCAAAAGTATTTTCATACTGGAAGGGTCTTAACAGTATCTAATTGCTCTTTCTACTTCTTAAAACCTTAAATGATTTTTTTTTTTTTTTTTTTTTAGTTTAAGTGACTGTTCTTGAGCCTCATGGTTTCCAGAGATAGTTTATGTGACACTGAGAAATCAAATAGGGAACACGGGGTCCCCGGGGCCTGTGTCACATCTGTAAGTGTTCAGTGGTTCAGGAACTGCAGATGTCTTTGCTTTTTAGTTTTCCATCCTCCTCCTCAGGTCCTTGTCAGGCCGTCTTGTCTCTTCCTCCTGCTCAACATGCACGTCATGCTCCCTGTGGCGGCCCACACGAGGGAGTCTTCTGCCTAATCAGTTTGTAGTGCCCAATTTCAGCATGAGTCTGTGGCCGTTTCTGACATGGGGTTTTTAGACTAGACCAGGGAAATATTCAAGGCCAGATAGGAAAGGATGGGGATAAAAATTAGCATGCTTTTTAAACTTTATTTATTTATTTTTATCTTAGGAACGTGTTGTGGGCTTTCATGTACTGGGCCCAAATGCTGGAGAAGTCACGCAGGGCTTCGCAGCTGCGCTCAAGTGTGGACTGACTAAGAGGCAGCTGGACAGCACGATTGGAATCCACCCCGTCTGTGCAGAGGTGGGTCATGTACACTCTCTGAGCTATTTAGAAGTGTACATCATTGCCAGTGTGAGGAGCAGGCCTGGGACTGTGAACAGTGTTCTCTGCTGCACCTGACCTACTTCTATATCTCCTGACCTTTGATAATGCTTGAGAGTACCTCAAAGGAAGGCCTTTCTCTCAAAACAATTTTTTTCAGATATTTATTACCAAACTGGAAATGTCTGTCATGCCTTTCAGTGTAAAAATTTTAAGAGAACAACTGATAAATATGGGCTTTAAAGCACTTACTTATAAAATCTCCTTAGTTTTTTTCATGGCAATCAGTTAATAATGCCATTCAAACTCCAAAGACCCTCTATCTTAGTGATCTGGGGTTACTTCAAGGCTAAACTAATATTGTCTGTGCCTCTTGCTTTTGTTATCAAAACAATGAGATTAGAAAGTGATGGAACTGGAAATTGACCACCTAGGCCTCTGGGTGTCAGTGTTTCTTCACTGTAAGTGAGTGATCATCCAGGAGTTGAATKTAGTGAGTGATACTTCACAGGAACTGGCTGGGAGGTGGCAATGTAGCTCTGGAGTTTAAAATCGCAGCTGTTGTCTGTGTACCCTAGCCAGTGGTATCCAGGGTGTGAATTGTGTGTACAAACACATACACAATGGTGTGTGTGTACCAGATTTCATTCAGCAGCTGGAGGACTGGCCGGTTTCCATTCCTGATTGCACTCGCACAGCTGAACTTTTTGCTGAGTATGTGAAATGTCAGTTTTCAGACATGRAAAAGTATCTTGGCTTCGCCTTCCAGTTGGGAATGGTGTCCTACTCTAGATTAATAAGCACTTGGCTTGATTGGAAACAAAATATTAACATATTTAGAGATTAGGACATGATTTGTAGAAAGCTGTTTTTGCTACAAAGGAAAAAAAAACCCTAAGCTTTCAAAAAACATAAAAACAGAAGAGTCTGGATTAATGTTAATGCTCTGTAAGAATGTGTGATATATCTTTTATTCAGTGTTGACTCAGAGTAGGTACATGGGGAAGGAGCCAGTTAACTTTGCATTTTTGAGTGCACGCTAGTTTCCTAAGGCTACTGTAACACAGTGCAACTAACTGGTTGCTTGAAACAATTGACACTTACACAATCACAGTTTGGGAGACTGGAAATCTTGAATCAAGGTGTCAGCAGGTCTGTGCTCCCAAAGCATCTAGGGAACAATCAGATCCTTCCTTGCTTCTGTTAGCTTCCAGGAGTTGGCTTGGTGTTACTTGGCTTGCAGGTGCATTACCCTCGTCTCTGCCTCCAACTCTGCGTGGCCTTATCTCTTTGTGTCTGTGTCCCAATTTCTTTCCTCTTACAAGGACACAGTCATTGATTTAGGGCCTACCCTAATCCAAAATGGCCCTCACGATATTGCCAAGACCCTGGTGTTTTTGTTTTGTTTTCTATTTGTTTGTTTGGTAGATTGAACACAGGGACACTTGACCTCTGAGCCACATTCCCAGCCCTGTGTTGTATTTTATTTGGAGACAAGGTTTCACTGAGTTGCTTAGCATCTTGCTTTTTGCTGAGGCTGGCTTTGAACTCGTGATCCTCCTGCCTCAGCCTCCTAAGCTTCTGGGATTATAGGCATGTGCCACCGTGCCTGGCAAGACCCTGTTTTTAAATAAGGTTACATTCACTGGTACAGGGGTGATCATATCTTTTAGAGGACAAAATTTAACCTGCAACTGTGGGAAATCTAAAAATTAGTTGCCAGTCCAAGATCGTTGTGAATTGCAACATTCATCCCCAGTATGGATGAATGAAGAGATTTCCCAGCTTGCATGTAAGAGTGTCTGATTCCTGTTTGAATTCAGCTCCCAATAGGCTGGTTGAAGGGCTGCTGGCACTGGACTTGCCTGCCTGCTTGTGTTGTTCTTGACCTGCAGCAGCATGCACAGTGTCATCTGGCAGTTGACTGCCAGCCAGGAGAAAGACTCAGTGAAGAGGCAGGAGGTCAGCCAAAGGCCTGTCCTTCTTGGTACCCAGCACATTTGCCGCTGGACACCTCCATCTGTCAGTGCTCTCAAGACTTTGAAGCCCAAAGGCTGAATGTTCTGATACTCTGCTAACATTTTGATCACTTGGATTTATTTTTTCCAAGTTTATGACTGATGGATAAGATAAAAAATGTTGGATGATACTCATTCTGTGCACCTTTGTGTGAAGCCACATTTGGAGCACCCTGTTGGCACTGGGAACTGGCAGGGATTTGTGACAAGCTTAAGAGCAGGTGAGGCATGAGAGTGAAGTTCCCATTGTAATCCACGGTAAGGCTCCAGGATCAGGGTGAACAATGCAGGGCACCCGAGTGGGCCATCTGCTTTCCACTCACAACACTTCTAACACAAGATGTTTGTGAGTGGGGTGGGGTGGGGTTTCTCACACCAAAGGCCAGTTCTCCAGACAACGGCTGGATCCTACCGTGTAAATCAGTTTGAGGCTAACTACCTGGGATTGGCATCAGGCCCCACAAATTAAGGACTTTGTTTCACAAGACTGTCCCAACTTCAGATGCCAGTCTCAAGTCTAGGCTTCTAGTGTTTCTGACCGTCCAGCTTTCCAGTCTCAGGGGTTCCCATGATCCTTTCCTAATAAATTGCTAGGCAAGGGACTCAGGAAGACAATTAACTTAACGTTATTGGTTTATTACAAAGGATGTAACTTAGGAAGCGCCACATGGAAGAGTGGTGTAAGCAAGGCAGGCTGGGGGAATGTGGAGCTTCCATGCCCTCTTTGAATGTGCCACCACCTGGCACCTTATGTTCAACCTGGAAGGTCTCCAGTCCTTTTGAGCTACTATGGACAGTGGGCTGGAAGAGGCCCGTGTAGTAGCCAGTCCAGTTATGTACTGTTACAGGGGCAGATGAGAAAGGAGCCTGGCCAGACTAGGGAGGGGGCGGTGGGCATTGAACGGCTCTGGTGTGCTGGGATTGGGTGGACAGCACCGCCAGCTGGTTGGAAATGTGACGAGGGAGAAGCTGAGAAGGACTCAGGTTGGTGTCTTGAAGCAGCAAGTGGGCTTTGGGGGTAACCACTATGGCACCGGCGCCTGTGAGGGTGCCCCATGCACAACTGTGTTCTCTGTGTGTCAGCGTCCTTTGGGCTTTCACAAGGAGGGGAGGGTGCCAGCTCTACCTGACAGACACCTTGATCTGGGTGGTCACCTTGCCCAGCAGTGGCACAGCTAGGATCCCACCCAGGCGATCTCAGCTCCAGGCCCCATGCTGAGCAGTGATAGTCTACCTCCCTGGACTGTCCTGAAGTGTTTGACACTGAATTGAAAAACTGGAATGATTTCTTGGTGGCTGCATGAGCATACTGTCAGGACACAGATCTGAGTTGTGGTCCCATTCAGCAAGTTCTTCTCTTTAAGACCTGGCCGCATCTCTCAGCTTTTATTAGCTTCCACATGAAGTAAAATAGAGACTGATTTACAGAGTTTGCTGGAAGCCCTGTGGGCCAGGTGTCCGGGAGAGTCCTGGCATTTGGCCATGGCAGTAGCTGCATCTGTGCAGTGTTTCTTTCCCAGGGAACTTCACCGTGGGCGGTGGGGCTTGACTGAGAGGCCGCACAGCGTTGGTGTGGAAGGTGGGAGGACTGCTGTTTTGAAGAAGCTCCTGGTGGTGTGCTCCTTTTCAGCCCTGGTTGTGAATTCTACTTGCTTAGAAATTAGAATTTGAAAAACCAAGCTTTTAGATCCTAACTATGGAAATCTTTTTTAAAGCTTCTTGATCTAGGGAAATGAATTTGATAGTTAGCTGATTCTTAGGGACTTTTTCTCTGTTAAACACAGGATTCCAAATCGGGTAGTAACTGGATGGAGTCCAGGCGTGTCTGGGTGGGGAGTGCCGCTCTGGGTGCTACTGTCCACATAAGAAGGTGAAATGAAGAGGAAAGGCTTAGAAACTTAAAGAGCAGTTAGACAGTGTCTGATCTACTCAGAAGAAGTTGGGAGTTTGATTTTATATACCTTGTAAAATTTCATTTTCCTAGTAAGTTTTTATTGAATTTCACAAATGTTAGTTCATTGATGTAGTAGGAGTGCTACCTTTAAGAATTAAGAACTCGTCCTGAGCACTGTTCGGAATAGGCACAGCCCTCAGGCCAGCTTGGCAGCTTGGTATTGAACGTATTGAACGAACTCCTCCCTGCCACTCTGATGACTCACCTGGGGAACTGGAGTGCCTTTGGCTCTGAGGAGTACTTACTTTCGGAAGTTGGCACATCCCTCAGTTGAGACTTCACTCTTAGAGAAAGATAGTTTCCACAAGGCCATCTGCCCACGGTTCTCTTGGGATGGCKKAGGAAGGAGGTGGAGAAGCTCCTTGTTTCGACTGGAATCTTTCTGGAGGAAGAGTCCATGCCTGCAGTGGCTCTGCCAGAGCATGAATCTGGGGACAGCAGGGTGGGGGTGATTTATTCTGGACTTTAAGCAGCAGTCCTTGWAATTTAAAGTGGTAATTCAGCTAATAAAGTTTCCTCTCACGGGAGACAGCAGCTCAGGAGGAAAAGTTTTTAAAAGACTCTTTTGAAATGTCTTAAAATGAATTTTAGTGCTGAACATCAAAAGTTCTAGGGTTTTAATAGCTTGATCCCTTTGTACAAGAGGGGGCCTCCTGGGGAGCCTTGTGAGGCCTTGGGAGAATGGGCTCAGCGTCCAGCAGCACTTGACCTGCGAGGCTCCTGCTCCTGCGTGTGGGGAGGCTGCTGCTGCTGCTTGTTTTTTGTTTTGTTTTGTTTTTTAATTTTGTTTTTAGGAAAATTTTAAAAGAGCCGAATCTTTTCATTTAGAGGGATCAATGATGACAGCTTGGCTTCCATCTTAATATAAGTGTATCATCAGAAAAAAAAAATAAATATAGCTCTTTTGTCATCTCCCATTTTCTGATGGGTTTAGTTTTGTATGCAAATCTATTTTTATTTCTAAATCAATTCCTGAAAAATAGAACATTAGGTTGCAAATTCTCAAG